AGGAGGAGGAGGAGGAGAAAATGCAGGGAGCAAGCAATATATAAAAATTAAGAATGTCTTTAAGAAGAAAACTATACCAGGGTACAATGCCTGGCCCAGGAAGGCTGTATATGCAACTGGAAAATTCAGAGCCATATTAGAGAACATTCTTCTGAAGGACCAAAGGAACAGGACCAAATTTCTCAGCTCATATCATTGCTTTAAACATAGAGGTAAAAGAGGGCTGGATGTTGTGGGTTGATTTTTTTTTTTTTTAATAACTTCTTGTTTTGTTTTTTGAGACAGAGTCTTACTATGTAGCCCTGGCTGGCCTGGAACTCACTATGTAGACCAGGCTGACCTTGAACTCACAGATACACCTGCCTCTGCCTCCCAAGTGGTAGCATTAAAGGTGTGTGTCAACATGCCTGACAATAATTATTTTTTCAAACAATCATTGGTTTTTCTGTCTTCATTTGAGCAAATGATAGGCAGTCACTGCTGTCCAATGAAGGATTTTTGTTTGACTCTCTCTTGGAGTCAAGAAGGCAGAAAGGTCCTGGGGTCTACTTAGAGGATGGCCAGCCCAGGAACAATATGCTAGGGGTGGGAAATAGGCAGGTTTCCTGTTCCAGGGCCTCCTACTGGAGCTCATACCTGTCCTAGCCTTGGAGGACTTTGTTTTAGAAAGCAAAACTTTTCCTTCCCAGTGTGGTCCCACAGCTATGCACATGTGTGTGGAGACAGAGGTATCTACATGTATTATACATGTACAAAGCATATGGGAAATCTTTAGCTTAAGCGTCCACACATTCATCTCCATGGTTAGTCCTGGTCTCTGGGGCCTGGTATGGCCCTAGAGTATCTAGATGACTGACTTGCCAGTTTCAGTCTTTCGATCTGGGGCTGCTGCAGCCATAAGTCTGTGTCTGTGGAAGGGTGTGACCATTTCCTGGGGTTGTATCTTCATCTACATGGGAAGAGAAGCTACAATGAACAGAGCCAGAATGGCAGCAGGTGGCAACAGTTCTGCAGGGAATCATGTGCCTCAATGATAATGACTAATTGCAGGGATAATGAGTCATTAGCCTTCCCACCTTCCCCAGGCAACTGCAAATTAAGCCAGCTTGGGAGCTGGGGAGTGGCCACCCCACTTGGCCTCAGCCGCCCTTCCAGAAGCCTCTCAGCACAGGCATGGGTTCTCTTGAGAGCTAGCAGAGGCAGAACTCAGCAATTATTGCAAGGAAGGAATGCTGAGGGAAACCCAAACATCCCCTGTTCACACCGTGACTCCTGATTCCTTCTGTGAATCCCAGGCAAGGTGCCAGCCCCTGTCTGGAGAAGGAGACATCCCTTCCACCCTAGACTTTCCTAAGGAGCATCATGGCAGGTGTTCTTGGCCTAGTTCCACAGCTCCTTCATCAGTGAAAACACAGTGTTCTTCCCTGTTCCCTCTGCAGTGATGGAAAATTGTGTGTAGGCAAAATAATGATAACAGAATTACTACCCTAAGGGGGCTTGTGGATGGATTTCTAGGGCTCCCAAAACATGCTGAAATTATGCATAATTTGCATACAAGTTTCTGGTTTGCTCTACAATGCTTAGGTACCCCTGCATAGGGAATCCAAGGTTTTCAACTT